TCTACCGTTACAACATACCGACCCGAACGCTCACCACGCCCCCCCCCCCTTCCCTTGTATTGGTTTATTTGCTAAGTTTGCTAAGTAAAATATGAAGCGAAGGGATTTGTATGAAGCGGCCGCTATGCAGCATGGATATATGAGTGCATATATGCAGCCGTACCCACCGTAACGGTATTGGCAAGGTGTACGGAAAACTCGTCCAAAATTGCTTCCCGAGTCATTGAGAACGAAAGGCTTTTCTTCGCAGGTTTTTGACCGTTTCACTTCGTTTTTTCGCCATTTTACCACTATATGGCGCCCTGCTACCATTTTAGGCCAATTACCAAAATATCGCGTACAAACTGTCCCTCGTCGATCTTCTCTCACCCCCTCCCCCTTCTGTACTTCGAATTGGAAACCGTTTCAGCGACTACGGCAAGAAAACAGTGAAGGTGATCATTGAATGTGAATCTGAGTGCCGTCAATTGCGTGAAGGGGCCCCACGATTTCCGGAGGGCCTATTTGCGCCCCTTACCCCTTTTCCCAGCATCGACATTCATTCCACCTGAATTCCCCTCCAGACATACTCCACAGATCGTGGTGGATGCCTAGCGGGCTATCATCTGTTATGGCCATTTGATCTCGACAGTGATTACTACACGATTGGTGATAGTGGAAGCATAACAACAGGGGTGATTCATTTCGTAGGTGCCTGCCTATGGGTAGCTCGGAACAATCTCACCTCTGAAAAGGCGGTACGTCCTACCGAATACTGCTCATTCTGCTCTTCTTCCCCAAGAAGCTCTTGTTTCCAGTTGATGGCCTTTGTTTCGTTTGCGATAGCATACATGACGAATCTTTATTTGATAGTTATGCTGATATACATAAGCAACTTGGCGGTTGTAAGTTTCATACATCAATTTCGTTCGCTTCAACGCCATCTTACGCCCTTTGAGGCGACTGCAAGTGTCACCTCAGGCTGAACCAGCTCTCGCTCTTTTTTAAGCTAGAGCGGGCAAGGACCAAAAGAACTTGTGTCAAACGGTCCCTTCTCCGCGAATGGAGCACATCCTTCGAGGTAACAGAAGGTGAAACCGTACGTGCTGGCGGGTGTGCTACCAATGAATGGGTGCAGAGAGGGGTTGCCACTATCACAGTTATATCACAACATACTGGCTGATACCCAAAGTACATTTGTTTCGTAATTTCAACAGCAATCGGTGAGCTATATATTTTATCAGGGACTAACCCCCGCTATGGACTTCATATCGGTTCGCACTTCTGCACCAACGTGACTCGCATCGGCAGTGATTTATGGCAGCCAGCAAAATGCCCTACCGAGACGATTCAGAACCGGATTCTATCAGTTTGAAGGCTTTCTTTTCAGATAGCTATACTTGTGGAAATACTGTCCCAACAAAAACCTCCTCCACCTGTACCTCAGGACTTGAAGCCGGTGAGATTTATTTTATGAGAACTTCTATCCTTCATTTCTTGCAAAGGCTTGGCTGTAGAAAGCAATCGGTAGTGGATGGAGGAAGAATGATTCTCAGAGGGAGCGGGGGGGGGGAGAGTGAATGAGCTCATAGAGAACATCGAAGTGAGAGTGAAGTGGAAGACCGTATTGAGGGGGAGGTGCGGTAATGCTGTGGGATTCAGTGAACAGGGTAGAGTCAACAGGACTCAAGCTGGGCTGGAAACTACGGGAAAAGGGATCACGGATAAATACCCATACTTACAATGCAAGCTTCATACCACTACGTTTCCGTACTTTTACCCATCTTTTGCTCCCACATAGACCATTGAAAAACACCCGATTTCAAGTGCCGCTGCTAGTTTCAAATACGAGGTATCGCTTACATTGACGCGTAAGAACGACGATTGGCCAGTGCTGGGTTTTCTCGCCTCTAGAGAGCAAAACAAGCCATTGGTTCCCCATTAGTGCGACCTCCTTTCGGAAACGGTAAAGAGTAGAGGCGAGCCAGTAAGGAAAGTGCAGTAGCTGGGTGTCTCCGCCTACACGACCAGCGTGAACTGAACCTTCAGAACAGGGTGAAACTCTTTTCAGACAACGAAATTCGTAGCTGCCCCAAAGGGTACGTTTAAAGACAAACCAGGGCTGGGCTCTGGTCATTGCCTTGTGAGGGAAAATGGATCCTCGGCTTCAGTGGGCGTGCCACTTTCTCCGTTCAAAAGTGTACGGGGACGGACTGGAGGGTATTGATAATCGGGTGGCGTCTCTATACTTCGCCTGCGAATCGTGTGCCATCTCGCTAGCTCTTCCCCTCTCAACGCCCAAAGCCAGTTCATAGAACCATCTATGTGAACATGAAAAAGGCTGAGAGCCTCAAATATGAGGTTGAACGTTTTTGAAGCATGTAAATGGGCCATGTAGAATGCAATACTCAAATACTTCAGATGGAAACGGCGCGACCACCGCCTTCTCAGGATAAGTCATCCGAGAACACGGACCCTCATCCAATTCAACCAAGAATCGCAAGATCTGTGCTTTACATAGACGCCACACAGGAAATCGACACAGGGAATGATCAAATGGTAAGTCGAGGCATGCGCTGCTCATCGTCTGAAACAATGAGAATCCACGAAAAGGGTCAGAGAAACGCCTGTCCTGCATCCTTACTGCCTATACGGCCCACCTAACAATAATTTACACCGCTAGGTGTAGCCGTGTTGCCTGTAGCGTCATGGGACAATATTATTTGGTTGTCTGCAGTTGAACATTCAGTGGAAGCTTACTTCGCAAGGAAAATGCATTTCGACGTCGCCAAAATTCACCAACTATGTAATGCATTGGTGCAATAGTTCCTCGGCGCATTTATTACCGTAATCCTACTTTGCACAAGAGTTCT